TTAGTAATACCAAGGGCAGTTTATTCAATCCATTGTACCACAATTTAGCTTTACCACATAAAGAAAAGGGAAAAAGAATCTCCCTGATATGGTCCTGCGTGACCCCAGCTTGTCTAATAGTATTGCAATATTGACAAAAATCCAAAATATGAAGATTTGGATCTTCACCCTTAGCTCCGCTGAATTGCTTCCTTTCAATCATAGTAATAAACTAGGGTTTAATCTCGAATTGTACTCCCTCGAGATTTGGTGTAGGAGCAAGGTGTGGAAAATCACCCAGGGAAGGCTGGGAATAATTGCTGAGCTTGCGAGGTGGAGGAGCAGTCATCTCTAATTTTTGATCTGTACTAAACAAACAAATATGAGAAATTGTCTCAAAGAACTTGCATTCTCTGAGACGAAAGAAAATAATCGAATAGACTAAAAAAATAATCAGAAATAAAAATAAAACCGTTTCCCCGGTAGCGGCGCCAGGCCAAATTTTGACAAGATAAAGTCGTATCTCCTAATCAAAAGAATTACCTAAGTCTTCTAACTAAAACAGATAGGGAAGTAGGGTCGAATCCATAGGGAACAAGTCTTTCTATTCCTAATTAATTAATATAATCTAAACTATTAAGTAACCAATTTATTTTTAGGGGAATTAAACTAAAGGAACTAATTAAATTAACACGATTAAGAATTATTATAACAACAATAAAACAAAGTCTAGGGTATAGGTTCACCAATAAATAATATTCTAGGGTAAAACACAGTAATCAATTATCAATGCATCTATTAATCAGATCATAAAGGGCTTTCGCTACGTATTACAATCACAGAATTAATCTACCGGTATTAAAATGCATCTCTCGAATCTTGACTTAACCATTTATAAATTAACTTGCCTATTGAAACTAAGCCTAAACATTAATTCTCATCTCTTGAATCTCGAATCAATATTGCAAAACTCATACAATTAAACCAGGCCTAATCTAATTGCATAGCATTAAATCAATCAATAGGAAATTAATCAAAGCATTGAAAATCAACAATAATAATTCACCCCTTCATATTATTTATGGATCCCCACAACCTTAGAAATAAATCTACTCACACATATTAAAATCTAAACTAAGCAAAACAAATAAACAAGACATGATTAAGCAAAGCAGTTAAATTACTAAAGTTAACGGAAATAATGAATTGCATAAACCAAAAGTGTAGAGAGAGAAAAATAGTAATAATCCAAAGTCAAAGCATTGAAAATCAACAATAATAATTCACCCCTACATATTATTTATGGATCCCCACAACCCTAGAAATAAATCTACTCACACATATTAAAATCTAAACTAAGCAAAGAAAATAAACAAGACATAATTAAGCAAAGCAATTAAATTACTGAAAATATAAGGGGAAGAAATTGTTACCAAAGTAACCGGAAATAATGAATTGCATAAACCAAAAGTGTAGAGAGAGAACAATAGTAATAATCCAAAGCCTAAAGCTAAATCTGAGAAATTAACTAATGAAAAGAGTTACCCATATCTAACTTAACAAAACGTATTTATACTTAAGCTCAAAAAAAAAATCCTAATTAAAAACAAAATAAAAAAATCTTCGAAATCCTCTTCAGAATCACGCGCCCGGTCGGGTAGAGATTCGCCCAGTCGGGCCCGCCTTTTTTGCTTGAGTGGAGTCTCGCTTGCACCCGGTGAACCAAGGCGAAGCGTTCTTCTTCTTTCTTCCTCGCCCGACCGGGCGCGCCTTAGGGGGAGGCCACTACCCGGTCAGGCGAGCTCTCGGGCAAGGGATCATCTTCGATTGGGCCATTTTCTTGGCCCAATCCGGATTTCCTCTTTGGGGCCCTTAGCTCGGTCCAATGCCTTGGTCTCTTCTTTGCTGAGCCCTTAATCATCGATTTGATAACTCTAACCGGTCTTGGGCTACGGTAAATGGTCATATATCTCTAATGCTCGTAGTGGCTCCCATAAGTCCGGGAAAATGTTCCAAATTTGCAATTTCTTATAAAACAATACCAAATCTACGAAAACACTAGAAAACGCCTACTAGTAATAAAAGTGGCTCTAAATGGCCAAAAATACTCCTAAATATGACCAAGGGACGGGGGTAAAACACTATATAAAATGAACATATCACAAGGGAGTGTGGAAATTCATCTGGCACTTACAAGCTCCGCAAAGAATTAGATTTTTCTTGTGGTTGGCTTACCCGGAGAAACTAATGACAAATGCAAATTGCTTTCTTTGTCACTTGACAAGTGATCCTAGATGCTTCATGTGTGGCTACGTTGAGGAGAATATGAAACATATTCTAAAGGATTGCCATACTGCAATTGTAGTGTGGAATAAAATCAGAGGTGCAGCGAGTCATCAGTGGGCTCAGCAGCCCTTGCAAGACTAGAGAATTTATGGGTTTGAGACAATGATTGGCCTTTGGTTTTTGCTACCTCGTGCTGGTGGTTATGGCGGTGGAGGAATGGGAGGAGCTTTAGACAAGACGCATCAGTCACTCTTGATCAAGTAGGTTTTATAATGGCAAGAATTGGTGACATTAGAAGGGCATATGATGCTAATTTATGGGAGGAAAGCAGAGGAAAATGTCGAAGAACAAAGACTTTTGTGCGTTAGTAATTCCCGAGAGAAGGGTGGATGCGATTGAATCCAGATGGGGCGTCAAAGGGAAATCCAGGACAAGATGGGGCTGGTGGGGTGATCAGAGGAGATCGTTGTGAATTGTTCCAACTATTTGCTACTCAATGTGGTGTGTGTACTAGCACAAAAGCTGAATTGATTGGGGTTTTGTGCGGCTTAGCCATTGCGTGGAACAGTGGTCATCGGAAAGTCCAAGTAGCAGTGGACTCAAGCACAGTGGTTCGAATGTTGGTGGATCCTACTCCCCCCAACTCTCCTTTTTATCATTTGATTCGTAAATGCAAGACTCTAATTTATGAGCGTGATTGGGAAATCACAATTAGTCATTGCTATCGAGAGGCTAATCGAGTTGCTGATTGGTTAACCAATTTTGGTGTGACTTCTAATCAGAAATTAGTTATTTTTGAGGCAGTCCCAAAGGACCTTCGTGTCATTTTATTAGAGGATTTGGGCGGCTTCACGAGACATAGGATGATTTCTGAGTCTTCTTAGTTCTAGTGGTAGGATTGGAGTTGATGTAGTTTTTATTTTCTTGCTTTGTTTTTGCCTCTTTGTTTCATTTTTTTATTTCTAGTTCTAGCTTTGTTTCTTCTTTAAAGGGCTTGCCCCTCGTGATCACATATATATATATATATATATATATATATATATATATATAAGCTACAACCTCCACAATGGCTAGCGAATTTTTAACTTAAGTAAGCTTTATTAGAAAATTATTTTGTAAAGTAGACTCGTGGCCAAACTATTTACCAAACTAAGCTTCTAGTTTACATGTTGACTTTTTTTTTTTTAAATCTCATAATTTTTTTATTTAAAAAAAAAAAAAATACACTAAAAACGTTGTCCGAGTCAGCGTTTTTAGTGTAATTTTTTTTTTTTTTAATTTTTATATTCTGATTTAAAAAAAATAAAAAAAATTTAAGCAAAACATATCATCCTACACTTGACAAAACAGAGATAAACAATGCATGCTTTGCTCAACTAATATCCTTGATTATAGGAAATGCTACTGCCCAACGGATGCAACGCTCAAGGCTCCACTTTTATAGGATTAGAATAGGTCTTGCTGTATATTACTGTAGCTATCCTTTTCTCCTATAGAAGCTTCTGTTGTTCCTACAGCATTGTACTCCTATTTATAGTTGTACATTACTCAGTGAATAACAACAACAATAAACCCTTTATCTCTCTTATACACTTGGTGCTAATTTTTGAAGATTTCAATTCACCAAACGGTCTTGACGGAACCACGTGAGGGCAGCAGGGTTGGATACGGATTTCCCGTCAATGGTGATTGAGGCGGAAGGAGATGGGTAGCTTCCATCGATGAATTTCCAGAGATCGTACCCAAGGAGTGTAGCCTGGAGTTGTGTTTTCCAGGCAACATAATTTGTTGGGGTAAGCTTAATGCAGTTTTGGACGTGGATTAGGGTGATGGGCTTGCTTGGTTCATCAAGGTTGGGAATCATGGCTTCTACTGCCATTGTTGCGGAAGCGAGAAAAGAAGAATAAGGAAGATGAGGGTGCTTAGCAAATAAAAAATTAAGAATTTAAAAAAAAAAAAAAATATTTACACTAAAAACTAATTATAAAAAAAAAAAAAAAAAAAAAAAAAGTCAACGGGTAAAATGCTGTCTCTACATAGTTACAAGGGTTAAGTAAGAGTTTCCACAATGTTGTGGAGAGGTATTTGCTTGCAATTTTAAATAGTTAGAATTAGTATCTCACCATTGTGGAGCTACAAGGGTTGTAATTTTGGTGAAACTACATAGCTCTACAAAGCTATGTAATTTTACTACACCTAAAACATGTATTGTCCATTTTGAATGATTAAATTATTTATGATTTTTTAATTTTTTTTATTAGAAAAGTTAAATAACATGTGGAACTTATTAAAATTACAAGAGGTAGTAGCTAGCCATGGATCATTTTCCAAAGTAAGCTTTATTAGAATACTATTTTGTAAAGTAGACTCGTGACCAAACTATTTACCAAACTAAGCTGCTAGGGTAAAAAGGTGCTAGGGTAAAGTAGACTCGAACAACGTTTTATACCCTGATTTTTTAAAAATCATAAATAATTTAATCATTCAAAATGGACAACACATGTTTTAGGTGTAGTGAAATTACATAGTTTTGTAGAACTATGTAGTTTCACCAAAATTACAACCCTTGTAGCTCCACAATGGTGATATACTAATTCTAACTATTTAAAATTACAAGCAAATACCTCTCCACAACATTGTGGATACTCTTATTTAATCTTGTGAGATTTGAAATTTGAACATGATTATATGATATACGGAGTACCATTTATATGTCCTAGTTAGGTTTGCTTTTAGCGCTATGCTAAACCAATTCAATAAACCCAAGAAGAAGCAACAGGACCTTCCTTGGAAAAGGGTCAACAAAATTGAAGCAGAACGAAAATTGAAATTAAAATTAAAACCCTGTTAGAACCTTGGGTTTTGTTTAGAATATATCGAAACTGAATCGAAACACACATCAATGGAGGAAAAAGACGAAGGTATTCCAAACAGAGAGCTCTATGCTTTGCTTAACATCTCCCCAGATGCTTCTACCGAACAAATCCGCAAAGCTTATCGCCAGTGGGCTCAAGTCTATCATACTGACAAATACCAAGCTTCTCATGTACTCATCTTCTCTCTCTTTTCCTTTTTATTTATTTGAATTTGAATTTGAAGTTGAATTGATCGACAAATTATATGATTTTAATGGACGAGTTGCTATTTCATTATACTTATGGTATGGAATCTTAGAAATTTACCATTATCTTCTATGTGCTGATTGTTTTGTTTAAACAGTTCATATTCCGATGAATAATTAATTTGGTCACATTATTTTTGTAGCGGCCCTAATTTCTTCTGAAATTTGAAGGGAAATGATTGGTGTTGTGTCTTCGGTTGGGCCACATTTAATTAATTTGCAATTTGAATAGATTTTTTTTAGTGTTGATGTTGTTAACTTTAATGAGGAGTTGCAGTTGATGATCAATTATCCCCTAATTCAAAATAATGATGGTGGTTACTGATACAGAATGTAGCCATTGATATGGAGTCAGCGCGAGTAAGATAGGTTATTGACTGTGTGGGGTTCCGTACATAACACCCTCCAAGCTTGGGGAATGTACCAAAATTCCTGCTCTGAGATGGAGCATTTTCTGTTTAATCTCTCCAAAGCTTCATGCTGTTACTTATGGAGTTATGGCTCATGAATAAACATAGGCTTTGGAAGAGTGGATTAGTCTACAAAGTTAGGTACCTGATTGAGTCTTTCTAATTACATAATTCAAATATTGCCCTATTTTGTTCACCTTATTTTCACTTATTTTGGGAAACAAAGAGTTCAGATTAGATAAGTTCAGGGTTACTCAAGTTCAAATTACATCTAAAATAAGTCATGATAAAGTCCAATAAGTTGTAAGGTAAATAAACAACACCCTAAAATCCTTCTTTATATAACCATTTGCTAAAGAAATACAGGTAAGTCCTACTTTTTCCAACCTTTTGCTGAATCTCTTTGTTTAAATAATACTATTACTATATTAACCATCTAATACGATTTTATCATATGTATACAATAAGGAAAAAGATATTAAAGATAAAATATAAAATGTGAAAATAATATATTAATTCGCAAATATGAAAGGGTGAAGATTGATAGTTAGGCTTGGTACCCCGACTAACAACAACAACGAGTGATTACGGTGTTCAATATCGTCTTCTTTTGTGTCTAAATTTCAAATAAAAGTAGTAGAACTGTATTTCCGCGTTAATTTATAAACATCGATAATATATTGGCTAATATATTGGCTAATCATAATTTAAGCTAATGAATTATGGAAAAATGATATCTCTATTAGTTATTGAACTCAATTGGAGATGATATTTATTGTATAAATTTATTGATTGATTGGAAATTTATATTTTTATTTATTGATTGATTGTATTCATTGACATAAATAAAATAATAATATATTTATTTGTGGACATAATTCAAGTAATTGATTGTTAATTTTTTGTATTCTTTGTTGATTGATTAACCCACCCCCCCCCCCCTTTTTTTTTGCTAATTGATTGACTTTTTTTCAATTTCCCCAATTCTATATTTGAAAGATGAGGTATTTTAGTCTTCATAGGGGACACCACAACCCCGTACCTTGACATACATAATTCTTATTGTGAAGTCTTTGTACATTCTACGGAGTAATTAGATCTTGTACATATGGTTTTCTTAAAATCTAATAATACTAGAAATTTTTTTGTTTTGATTTTTTTTGGGATATATTTTTTTTTTTTTCTCTTAGTCAAGAGGAAATGGACTTCATATTGATTAAGTGAAACGTATTCTTGTTGGAGTTAGCTACTTCCATTGCATCCAGGAAGTAGCACATGGTAATCTTAAATATTCGATGGACTTTTCGCTTACACTAGACCTTAGTTAGGTACATTATTTCAACTCCATAGTCCCTATGGTCCTATTCCTTTGCACGGACTCTAAGAAAAGATGATCCCCCTTTGAGCATCTCTGCTTTTTAAAGTGCTTTAATGAGAATTTTCTTTAAGCAGTCTGTGACCTATTAATCTTTGACCTTCAACTTTTCTGTATGGCTATTGAAGGTCCAAGATTAATGTGCTAATCTCCACGAAGGGTATGCCCTTTGGATAAAGAGATACTTGTGTAAGATGCCATAGTTGAAGATCAATGAGTCAATACGTATTAGTATGTAAAACAGCTTCTTATAAGTCCTAGAAAAGAAGCTATTTCTTCTCTAATGGTTAGGAGTTTTATAATTATGTAAGTCTTTGCATTTTAAGATTGCATTTTCTGGATATGATGTTTGAACTTCTATAACCAGTTAATATAATTAATCCGCGAAAGGTGTTTTTCCCTACATGTATGTCTATTTGATAATTGTTTTTTGAGGTGCAAATGCTTGAAGTTTTCTCAACACTTAATTTCCTTCCCCTGCTCCTTTCAGATGAAAGAAATTGCTACAGAGAATTTTCAGCGGATATGTGAAGCATATGAAATACTCTCAGATGAGAACAAAAGAATGATATATGATATCTATGGTATGGAAGGTTTGAACTCTGGTTTAGAACTTGGACCGAAGTTAAATAAAGCTGAAGAAATAAAAGAAGAACTTGAAAAGTTACGTCGCAGAAAGGAACAGGAAAAGCTGGCCCATATCCGACCTACTGGTTCTATTATGGCCAATTTGTCATTGCCAGACTTTTGTGAGGGTGATGGCATTATGAAAGGGTATGCCATTTGATTTCTATTTTCCCCCTTATTACATGTAATTTTCCGTGTGTGATTGTATCACTGCTTTCGCATAAAAAACTAATGTTTAATACTGTTAAATGCCACACATTGATCTTGTAATGGTACCTGCACTTGTAAATGCCAGAATGGCCATGGCCAGTGAGGTCCAATCTCAAATGTCCAAACGCATTGCAGTTGCTATTGGTGGGAACTTAGCTGTTACAGGCAACTCAGGTGGTGGGGCTGCTACTGCTGTACTTAAACACCAGATATCATCAGTTGCTTCCATTGAATTCATGGCATCTGCTGGTTTGCGTTCAATTATTGGTATAGAAACGACACGGTATTTAACTTGTATCTTTTTTTTATAATTTTATTTTATCATGCTGATTTTGCTATTTTTATGAGTGTGACGCCCCTTTTCTTTATCCTTCTTGATCATCTAGTTTCTACTTATCCAAGAGTTAAAACTGGTTATGTTTTCCTACAGCCACTTATCACCTCACTCCTCTGCCACTGCGGGACTTGCAATGTCGCTAAAGGATGGATCAATCAATCTTTCTAATTTATGGACTCGCCAACTGTCTCAGACTTCAAATGGCAATGTATATCTCTGTCATCACAATTACACGTTCAAAAATAGAATAAAAAGAAAAATGTGAAGGGGAGATACATTTTTGCCTTTGTTATGGATCCATATTCTTGTAGTTATCAATGGTCATATGCAATCTTGACAACTATCATATCATGTTGTTCACATATTGTTGTTTACATGTTGTTTAATATTATTGAACTTAATTTATTATAACTGATTAAACTGCTTTTATTGGCTAAAACTTTTTTTTACTGATTAAGTCTGGTGTTAATTGATTGAAACTATTTTTGTTGTACAAGGTTACCTATAATTGATCAAAACTGATTTATACTAGTACTTTTAAAATTTACTGAACATTATTTCTACTTATTTATTTGTAGAGAACATGGCTAAAAAGGAGCTCTACAGTACACTGAAATCTTCTGATTCTCTTTGCAGCTGTTAATATAATATTTGAATTTGCTTAACTGTCATTTCAGATACAACTTCTTCTGGGTACAGAATCATCTATTGCTGTTGGATGGCAGAAAAAAGAAGAGAAAATGTCTGTTGCTGGAGAGATAAAGGTACAAAAATTCTATTGAGGAAACTTAGTACTAAAGAAATTATTATTTGGTAGTAATGAAGTTTGTTTCCTTAATTTAGCTTATATTTACTGATTAGTTGTGGATATATTATTCTATGATGTTTTCACTGCTGCAGTTTGGCACCAGCTCTTTTGGGGCTTCAGCTCATTATACTCACCGCTTTTCATCTAAGTCTCATGGGCGTATAACAGGCAGATTAGGAAGGTTTGTCTGTGAATTTATAAAAATTCACACTTTTTACTGATTAATTGTTAATATATATACTTTCTCCATTGCTACACACCTCATGGCACGTTAATGAAGAAATTAGAGAAGGTAAATGGGAATTACTAAAAATAATTTTACCACCAATAAAAAGTGTTAGGTTATTGCGGTTTAATTTTATATGTCTGTTTACCTTCTCTAATTACTTCCTCAAACAGCATGCCAAGGATGTGTGCTAGGTACCGGTTTATAAGAATAGAACTATAAGTTGTATATGGTGAGAATTATAAGCTGTAAATGCAGAAACAGAGAAAGAGAGAGGAATGGAGTGTTTGGTTGTATTGATAAATACAGATAGCCAGCCTTCTTTCGAGAGGAAGGTTCTCTCCCCAAGCCTAAGCTTTCTGTATAATTTCCCTGGATAACCCTTGTTGTATCCATGCACTCCTATTTATACTGATATTCCTTCTACAGAGTTCTTGCTTACATTCATTCCCCCTCCATAACAGAATATTATTCTTATGACAAAAAGACTAACAAAGCCCTCAACAAAATAACAGAATTGAAAACAGAATCTAGAAGCAATTAAATAAAATGCAGTGAATGTGACAGCTCAGCATTTCTTCTTATTCCTCCATCAGCCTTGCTTCTTGCGTCTTGAGTAAGTAGCCACGATTGGAGGCCTTGGCCCATTTTTTGCAATGTGCTGCAATTATTAGAAAACAGAGGAAATATTTTGTTACATACATCTTGTTTGTGATGAGCCCTTTGTCTGAACCATATTCTTTCACATTTGCAAGTATGTACTCTGTACTTGTGCGTTTGGTGTGCTGTGTTTAGCTTTTGAATTGAATTATCTTCTCTGTAGCAATGCTCTTGAGTTCGAAATTGGTGGGGGACGTAGAATATCTGATTTCAGCACAGTGCGGATGTTGTATTCTATAGGGATTCAGGTAACTACAGTCTTCTATATGGGCTTAGACTGCTCTGTTCATTTGTAGCATTATGAGAAACTGAAATAATTATTGGCTTTGACTTTTGTCTTATTTGTTATGCTACCTCTTGGTTTCTCCTGACAATTATAAGTTAACTTTGTTGATTGACAGTTTTACACTGAGGTTTATACTAGGGTGTAGTTGAAATGGCTGACAGATTTCTTTTTATTTCATTTAGTCTTGTTTAACAAATGGCATTTGGCTAGAATTTGACCAGCCTTTGGCATTTAGCTATAATTTGTTTAAACAGCCTTATTTAGCCAGTTTTCTAAGCCAAGATGAATATGTTGATTGGATCACCTTATTCTCCAGCTTTTATAGTCAGAAGTCAAAGAGTTGCATGACTTAGATCAGTTTATTAGCTGATTTTATCAATGGCTAGTAGACAATTTATTCTTAATTTGAAGTTTAACAACTCACTGAGTCAATAAAAGAGTTATGCTATTAGTTAGTCGAATGAGTCAACAACTGATTGACAAACCACTTGGGGAAAGTTCTCAACAAAGACACTTTTCCCCATTACTAGGAACAACTCTTGCTATAAAATGAGCAACTGTATTACGGTATTAACTAATACCTATCCTATCTACATGAGACATACAGAACGAAGTAAAAGTGGAATGAAGCCAAGTAAGATCTTCCTACAATAGATCTACAGGAAATCATCCAAGTTTGTTATTGTTTATCTTTGTTACGACCTCAATTGCTTGAATGTCAAGCTCTACATACTGGTAGTCAATTCTATGAGTCACCATCAATCTACCCTAGTTGCTCCTAATGTTTCTTTGACTTTATATCTTAATACTTTATCTGTTTTTTTTTTTAAATGCATCACTTTTCATAAATGGAACTTTCAATTTAGATGCATCACTTTTCTTTTTAACTAATAAATTTCTCTATCCCTCTCATATCACATGGGCCTTCTTTATTTTTTCTCTCCATCTTTCTTCACTCCAAAAATTGTCTACAAATATGATACATCTAAAATAACAGAAGAAATATATTGTAGCCATCAATAGTCCTTGCGCTGCAGCATCAAGCCCCACCAATGAACAAGTTGATATTTTAGGATGCTGATAGAAGTGGCTTTTTTTTTTATTTATTTATTTATTTTTTTATTTTTTACCTTTTTACTTTGTTAATTATGGTTAACTTTTTGCCTCCCTCCATTAATTATTCTCCTTTTTTAATGAAAATAAATTCTTATCTTAATAAGTAACATCTTTATCATTGATGATTTGGACTCTTATAATTACAAACATATGGGATAAATTTTTGGAAAAATTGGTTTAATAATCCCAACTTTGGCCGATTTTCTTTGAATAATTTTGATTATTCTGTAATAATCCCAACTTATATAGGCATCTTTCTTGTAATAATTCGAACTTTTGTTTTTGTAATACATAATAGTCCCACAAGGGGTCAACAAAAGCAACAATAAACTTCGGATTATTTTACGAAGATACATGTATAAGTTGGGATTATTTCAAAATAATAAAAAGTTGGGACTATTTAAAGAAAATCGATCAGAGTTGGGATTATTAAAACCAATTTTTCCTAAATTTTTAAGTTAAACAAAAATCTTCATAAAATATCTAGTGGTTGGCCAAATCTAGAGAATAGTTATACTTCCTCAGTTTCCTTCTCTGCTTCTTCTCTCTCTTTAGCTCATTTGCCACAATCAATGTCCTACATATTTAACCTTAGACTTGTTCACACTCTCAAACTTTGCCCTTCTACGCCGTCTTAGACTCCCCACCCATGAGCACCATGCCTAGAAAAGGGGAAGACTGAATATCACATCTTCCTCTCCCATCCATCACGGACTAAATGCCCCCCTTATTCCCCTCTTCCTTGCTGCTTATTACTACCTTTGTACTAAGAAAGAAGACCAATGCATGAGCATTGATCATCTGGGGAGGAGGGAGAGGAAAACGACGAAGAGAGAGAGAGAGAAAGACATAGAGAGGGGTTGTGGTCATGGTGGAGGCCTGGAAGTAGAGGCAAAACTACCTTTGGGCCAAAGAAGGCCTCCATGCCATAGTTAATTTCAGCATTGCATTTAGCACAAAATTACTTTGCTTGAGTGGTTAAGGGTAGTAATCTTTTCTTAGTTTGAGTGTAAAGGGGGTCTATTGATAAAATCTTGTAACATTCATTTCTAATTTACTTATATTATTTTTCACTTTAATAATTTCTCAAGTTTTCTATCCTAATCTATGTTCATAAAGCTTTTTTTTTTTTTTTTTTTTAATTTTTCTTTTTCTTAGAGATCGAGGAGAATTAGTGCTTACTATATATACGTAGTTTTTCAGGGGAAAAAAACTAGTATTAAATTATATATAAAACTTTAAAATATAATGGAAACGTAGCTCGTAAAATTTGGGCTCCATCATAATGAATTGGGCTTCGTCCCAGCCTAGAAAGAAGGGAGAGACTGGGTGGAAGGGGTTAAATTTGGGTAGGAGAGGAGAAATAGTAGTTTTAAGTTCTAATATTATTAGACAAACATGTGAATTAGGTATGGATTTCCTAAGATCTCCCAACCTAAACCCATGAGTTTGATAACGAAACCTATACCTAGAAAGTTGTTTCTTTGCCCTCCTTTATTTTTTTTCTTTGCCCATTTAGATTCATGGTGCCTCTGTCTCAAGTCTCAAATGTATGTGCTAAAGCAAGTAATCTTAAGACCTAAAGTACATAGGATCCCAATCTTAATGATGTGGGTAGAGTTGTCGATTCGGGTAAATGAGTTGGGTTTGGGTTGGGTTAGTGTGGGTCGGGTCAACTTGGGTTGGGTCAATGCGGGTTCATGTCGTAGCCTATGCGGGTCGGGTTCGGGTTGGTCATGCTTAAGTGAGGTCACGTCGGGTCATACATCTTATTGGGTTTGGGTCGGGTTTAGGTCGGGTCAATAACAAGCTGGATTACATTCGGGTCGGGTCAATAATAGGTCGGGTTTAATTCGGGTTTTCACGGATTAAAACGAGTTAGGGTCATTCTCGGGTTCGGTTCAAGTCAATAATTTGCAGGTTATAATAAGGTCGGGTCATTCTCAGGTTCGGTTCAGGTCAATAATTTGCGAGTTATAATCAAGTCGGGTCATTCTCGGTTTGAGTCGAGTTCGGTTCAAGTCAATAATTTGCGGGTTATAATCGGGTCAATAATTTGGGGATGATGCTTTTTTTTTTTGCTGGACCGACTTGGTCTTCCTGCATCCACGACAATTTGATTAATATATATTAACATAGAGTAGTTTTAGCCTTACGAAGTTACGACTTTACGAGCAGCTTAGAATATATTTAGCATATATTCTCTAATTATTGTATATATCTTTTTTTAGCTAGTCAGTATCTACAATAATAAAGATATATACAATAATTAGATAATATATGCTAAATATATTCTAACAATTAGAAATGAGCAAATAGTTATAATTAGTCTATGTAAGGAGTCGTATGTATTTAACTATTGACTATTGAACTTATCATAGTAACTCGTTTGCCCAAGCACACAACTACACAAGTGACTCAGTAACTATATAACTATATATTAATAAGGGGATCTAAATTGAATTTAAGGTGATTTGAAATCGGGTCAGGTCTATAAAAAGTTAGGTTGAGTTCGAAATGGGTTAGGAACAATTCGGGTTGAATTTGGGTAGGGTCAATAACAAGTCGTGTTGATTTCGGGTCAGGTTAGTAACAGATTGGGTTGAATTTCGGGTCGGGTTAATAATAGGTCAGATGTGGGAGCAAAGTGAATATTCAAGACTAAATATATAATTAGACATTTTAATCTTTGGGCTTGGATTATTTTATTGATTTAGATAAACAAGTATCTTGTATGGTTTGATTCGTTAAATTTCGGATCTAAGCGTGAGTATTGAAGTTCTGTGCAATTGAATAATTATCAAGACTTTTAGTTAGATCAGAATTATTTAGAGTTTTAGATTATATACTCCGTAGGATTAGTTAGTTATTTATTTTAAGATACAATTTTATGTTAGGATATTTTAGATCTTATTGTGATGAATTTATGTTGATGAGTTGAATGAACTTTGGGGTTTTCCTGCAGCAAGTCCCAAACTTTGTCACATCCCATGACATGAGCCAAACTGATATTTTTGTGGGGGCGTTCCCTAGCGACGCACTGCACTTCCCAGACTCGGGTGCAATGATAAGTATGCAAGAGTGGTGTCAAATGATCAAGGGCGTGCAGTTCGGAACAGGAGAAAGCGTGGTACGAGTGCGCGTGGTATGAGGGAGCGTGGGAGAAGGGAATCTAGTTTGCGGATTGGTTCTTGGAATGTGGGGTCTCTTACGGGGAAATCAGCAGAAGTGGTAGAAGCGATGAAGAGAAGACGCATAAACATCATGTGCCTCCAAGAGACAAGATGGACGGGAGAAGGAGCTCGAGGCTTGGTTTTGGGGTATAAGGTGTGTTATGTTGGGCAAGAAACGAGCCACAAGACTAGGAATGGTGGAGGTAGGAATGGAGTTGGTGTGATTCTCGATGAGAGGTTGTCGAAAGAGGTAATCGAGGTCTATCAGAAGAATGATAGGTTGATAAGAGTGAAGTTGCTATGTGGCAAGGAGATTGTGAATGTTATTAGTGCTTATGCTCCCCAAATTGGTTTGGATGCAGAAGAGAAACGACAATTTTGGGAGGATTTAGACGAGGTGGTTCTATAATGGAGGTGATTTAAATGGGCACGTTGGGGCGAGCTGAGATGGCTATGAGATTGTCCATGGAGGCTTTGGGTATGGGTAGAGGGATGCAGGTGGTGAAGCTATTATGGATTTTGCTCAATCATATGATTTAATTTTGGCTAATATTTGGTTTAAGAAGCGTGATTCACACCTGATAACTTTTTGGAGTGGAGCAAATGCAACACAAATAGACTTCCTGCTCACAAGGAGCACGGATAGACAAAGTTGCCTAAACTGCAAGGTCATTCCAGGAGAGAGTGTGGTCACCCAACACCGGCTTTTGGTAATGACTATTCGTTTGATAGAGAAGGCGAAGAAAAAAGGAAGACAAAAGGAGCCAAGGATAAGATGGTGGACTCTAAGGGATGCAAAGGCTAAGGTTTTTATAGAAAAGGTAATTAAGGAGGTGGATTGGGATGGAGAGGTGGATCCAGACATGACCTGGTTACGAATGAAGAACTGTTTCCTAAGAGTGGCTAAAGAGGTCTTAGGGGAATCAAGGGGAAGAGTTTCGATACAGAGAGATACTTTGTGGCGGAATGAAGAGGTGAAAGCAGTAATTAAGCAAAAAAGGGAATGTTATCAAGCCTTGGGAAAATGTAGGAGTGACGAAACCTTTGCAGCGTATAAGGAGGCTAAGAGTAAGGCAAAGGCAGTTATTCGTCAAGCTAAACTTATCATGAGGTTTATGAAAAGCTCGGACTCCAAGGAGGGAAAGAAGATCATTTATAAGGTGGCAAGGAAGGATATTGGCATGGTGAAGTGTGTCAAATATAAGAACCAAATGGTCTTAGTACAAGAGGAGGACGTTAAGGACATGGGAAGGGGTACTTCGATAAATTGTTTAATAGAAGTAATAGAGCACTCCGTGTGATGAAGAAATCAACATGGAGTATGTGCGGAGAATTAGGAGAGTAGAGGTGGAGATTGCATTGAAGAAGATGAAGCCTAAGAAGGCTGTTGGCCCTGATGGTGTACAGATAGAGGTGTGGAGGTGTTTGGGAAAGATTGGTATTGATTGGTTAAAAGACCTTTTCAACAAGATATGGACGGCTACAAGGATCCCGCAAAATTTGGAGGAAGGAGCACCTTGGTCCCGGTCTATAAAAACAAAGGAGACGCTAAGATTGTTCTAACTATCGAGGGATCAAGCTTATGAACCACACTATGAAGTTGTGGGAAAGGGTGATTCAACATAGGTTGAGAGCATGCACAAGCATTTCGGATAACCAGTTGATTTTATGCCGAGGAGATGTACTATGGAAGCAATACATTTGATAAGACAAATGATGGAGTTTTATAGGGTAAAGAAGAAGGATCTTCATATGGTCTTTATTGATTTAGAGAAGGCTTATGACAAGGTGCCAAGACAGGTACTTTGGTGGGCAATGTTGAAGAAAGGTATCTCACGAAGGTACGTGGACCTGGTTAAGGATATGTGTGGGGATGTGTCAACAAATGTGAGGACATGTGGAGGGTTGACAAAAGATTTCCCTATTACAATCGGATTGCATCAAGGGTCTACATTAAGCCCTTTTCTTTTTGCAACGGTTCTAGATGAAATAATTAGACCAATTCAAGATGAGGTTCCATGGTGTATGTTGCTCGCAAATGATATCGTTTTGGTGGATGAAACTAAGGATGGGGTTAATGCCAAGTTAGAGCAATGGAGGCAAAGGTTGGAATCTAGAGGGTTTAAGCTAAGTCGGAGTAAGACTGAGTATTTGATATGTCGTTTTAGTACTCAGATGGGGGCAAGCAATGAAGTGGTGAGTTTGGATGAAAAGGATTTGACCATGAGTGAACGTTTTAAGTATCTAGGGTCGATCATCCAGAAGTATGGTGACATTGATCAAAACGTGGCCCACAGGATTAAGTTGGGGTGGCTTAAATGGAGAGCGGCCACTGGAGTGTTATGCGACCGAAGCATTCCCTTACAGCTGAAGTACAAGATTACCATAAGACCAGTGTTTCTCTATGGTACCGAATGTTGGGCTTCTAAGAAGGAGCACATTAAAAAGATGGAGGTTACAGAAATACACATGTTAAGGTGAATGTGTGGGAACACTCTAAGAGATAGAATAAAAAATGAGATTATTCGCAAGAATGTAGGTGTGGCAGGCATTGGAGATAAACTAAGGGAAAATCGCCTGCGTTGGTTTGGGCATGTAAGACGGAGACCTGAGGGTGCACCGGTGCGAAGAGTGGAAGAGTGGGACCATGGAGGGGTTAAACGAGGGAGAGGGAGACTGAAAATGACTTGGTTGGAAGGAGTTAGGAATGATATGAAGTGTATGGATGTGCATGAGGATGGAGCTTTGGATCGTAAAGGATGGAGGAAGATTTATGTCGATGACTACACGGAATAATCAAATTTGGTTCATGTTAGCCGACCCCACTTATGGGATTAAGTCTTTATTGATTGATTGAGTTTTTGCTACTGTGAATTTTGTGCACCTTTTGTAATAGATTAACCAGGAGGGGTAGTATAGGTATTCTAGTTTATATTAGTTTATTAGGGTTAATAGTCCTTAGTATAAATTGAGAGGAAGGGAAAGAAATAGGTAGGCAGAAATTTGTTAGGGAAACTTAGAGAGAGTCATGGCCTAAAGCCATTTTGGAGAGTTCTGAGCTAAACTCACTATTGAAGATTGATAGCCTTAAGCTATCAACCTATCTTTGTAACCCTTTCACCATTAACAATCAATCTTAAGCTTTCATCTTTATTAATTTGCTAGTTAAAATCAGAAATTCTTGCTGTTACGTTGATTTTGCTGGGTGACCGAACTCAGTTCATCACATCTTGTTGACTACAATTGATAAGAAAACACCTTCAAGTGAGATTTGGGATCTATCCTAATTGTTTTTATTGGGTCTATTTAGATCCACATCTAAGTGGTATCAGAGTTCAGGGTTTATAAATCCTTTTAGTATTTACACGATCTTGGTTCGACTAATAAAAAAACAGAAAAAAAGAGGCAGAAATTAATGGAATGTTCTACTCGTGTTTAACGGTTTGAGAAAACTTTGGGATTCTTGCTAGTGCTAGAGTATCACGAACAAAGTGATAAGGATTAAAGAAAATTCAAAAGGGCATTACAAAAATTCAACGAAACCTTAGAGAAGCTTTTGAATTACTCTAGGTTACAAAGTGTCTTGTGAGGAAGAAGAACAAGTACAAGATTCTGTTTTTAATCCTTCACATGATGCTAAAAGTTAGATCTTTCCTACTTCGTATGGCACAAATTTGGAAAAAGAAGATATATGTACAATAGTTTGATACTATTCTTGAAACTACACTAGATTGGATGATTAATACTTTTGGGTTGGGAAAGTTGTGTCAGATTTATTTTCTAACCACGAGTTTTCAAGTAAATTGGTTGACTCTCAGAGTATTTTTGATTAATATTGGACTTTTGACAAGAATTGTAGTACAACTGGTATATTTTTTACGGTTCGTGTTCTAGATTTGTTATTTGACAATGGCAAAATTTGTGGTCGAATTTTTTTTTTTTTTTTTTTTTTTTTTATAGAAGAGGAGAATGATGTGAGAGCAAATTGAGTACTTTAGAGTGTAGATTAATTATTTAATTTTTGGGTGTGGAATATTATACGTATTAAGATAAAAAAAAATAATTAAAAAAAAAAAACGAGTATTTTATACGGTAAAGTTTAGATCCGAGCATGAGTATTTAAGTTTCGTGCAAGTGAATAAGTATCAAGACTTTTAGCTAGATTAAGGTTATTTAGAGTTTTAGATTATATAGGATTTATTGGTTAATTATGCATTTTAAGATATAATTTATGTTACGATGTTTTAGATCTTATTGTGATCTTTGTTTTACGAGTAAGATAGAATAATTAGTTTTATTATGTTGCTTTTATTATTTAGGGAATTAATCATTTTATCAAAACCTATATAAAGACGTTAGGTTATAACTTTTATTTATTGAATGAATTTAATTTCTTTTGATGAGCTTTGCTATCATGGGTTTAGGGAGTTAAACCAAACGCAAAACCGCTCTTTTGTGCATCTTGTTGATTGCGATTGACAAGAAACACTCAATTTGTGCGATGCTTGATATTTATCCTAGTTGATTGGTTAGACAAAATAATCATTTAGACCTTCCCCAGCGTTTAAAAAAGCGCGCCTAAGGCGAGGCACTAATGGGTAAGCGCTTAACTTGGTTTTGCGAGGCGTTGGTTAGACGCAGACAAGGCGCACGTAAGGCGCATCTGAAGCAAACTTCAGTTAATTTAATTTTAATAGTTCAAATAATACGCCTCTAAAGTGAGGTGCACTGAGGAGGCGCACCTAGATGCAGCAGAACCCCTCTCGCTTTAGCGCCTTTAGCTTTTTTATACATTGCCTTCCCCATTATCTATCAAACAATCTTTTACCTTGGTGCCTTTTTTTTTAATTATTTTTGTATATTATTATTATTGTTAAATTGATACGTTGGATTATTATTATTATTACTTTCTCTGTTTTTTTTAGCTGCATCACTTTGCAAATTGCAGATTTTTAAGTAATTTTTGGAGATGAGAGAGATAGAGATATTAAAAAAAAATAGACTCATGTGATAGGAGAGAGATAGAGAGAGTTTATTAACTAAGAAGGAAAGTGATGCAACTAATTTAAAACTTTCGTTTTAGGAAAGTGATCCAAATAAAAAGAACGGAGGAAGTATTTATTTGTTATTAATGTATATATTTTTTATATTATAAACATTAGCTTCTCATTAAAAAATGCATCAATTTTTGCTATTAATGATCTCTTTCTTTTCTTATTCGTAGGGTGTCTTTTGGAAGTTTGAGTTGCATCGCGGTGGTCAAAAGTTGATAGTTCCTGTTAGTGCAGCTCTCAACTTAATTTATTTTGTAGATATCTAGTTTGCATGGATATTATTTTTTTTGTTGCATCACACATAATCCAATGTAGAATATATTGCATTTTACTTATTCATGCGCCCTTGAACAAAGTCTAGTGGTTCAACGCCTCCTTGTTCTTGTGTGCACATGATTAGAAGGATTAAGCAATTTTATCATTAATTTTCTTGCATAGATTGTGTGTGTGTTAAGAGACCAGTTAAAGAGGTTCTATATTTTCTCTGTCAGAACTTGCAAGTTTCATACTCGACATATTTTTCTGGCTAACTTCATTGTCAATATTGACTATTGTTTTCCCCTTTTTTTTTCATCTTCAATATCTACTTTTATTTTTAGCTTATGGATCTCTGTTATGGGGTGAATTTTGCTCGCAGGTTTTGCTTTGCAGGTATATAAACCCTTTTTTTGCAGCAGGGGCATTTGCTATTCCGACATCCCTTTATTTCGTACTTAAGGTAAGTTAGACGTCCTTTTTTTGGGATAAATTGTGAGATATCCATATTTGAATAAGTACAGTAAGTTTAATATATATTGCTCTGGAAGTCTGAGATAAAGCAGACAACAATCCATGCTGGGAGGGTTGTTGGTGAGGTAAGACAAAAATATTTGAAGCTTTGGTCTTCTGTTTAGACTTCATTGTTCACTGCATATTGTGCAAAGTCTTGCCTATGATAAGCACCATCTGCTTCTTATTTACCTAATTAATGTCGGCAAACAGCTTAAATTTATACGCAATGTTGACTTTGGCTGTTACACTATTTTTGTCCCATTATGGTTTTTTTTTTTTCTTGACCCAGCCACAAAATTTCAGAGATCCATTGTCGTGTGTGTGTAAGAGGGGGGGGGTGCAAAATGTGTGGAGGTTATGAGGTCCCTTTAAGGATCTTGCTGTTGGCAGGGGTAATGTAGATTTGGCTATTGACAGATTCATCACTTTTCTCAACCATACAAATTCTATCTTGATATCATTTGTAGGGTTGGTAAATGTGGGCAAGGATAGACACTGTGGTGCACTCTTACCTATATGTTGCAAGGGTGCAAGCTTTGTATGGAAATGGGCTTGTGTGCACTTAGCAACACATGAAAACGTTTTATTTTAGAAGTGACACTCTTGCCTATTGGCGACAAGTGTGAAGATGAGGGTCAATTGGGGCGCAAACAGGGCCAAGTACTTGAAAATTGAGTTTGTAGGACTTTTAGGTTTGGGTGCTTTACAATGAGTAGCGAACTAGCGACACAATACTCGTAGTGTCCTAACAATGCAACACAAATAGTATTAAAGCAAGAAAGCATAGGGTATGATCTCATTCATTGATCATCACTCCATGAAGGCCTAAGGAACGTTTTGAAATTACTATGTTTTTGCAAGGGATCAGCCCAAACCTGGTATTCGTTTCACATATGCAAGAAGGCCCAAAAATAATAATTGATTCATGAAAACAGTGTGTAAGAAATCAGTTTTGGGGGAGAGGGTAAAGTAGTAATTCAGATATAAGTTTGTTACTAGTTTGTTATTTTGATTCTTGTGTTAGTTGAGCTGGAGTTTGTTAGCTTGCTTAATTTTGTGTATTAATAGGGGATTTGGTTAAGGGGAATGTATTAAGAAATATATTGTGGAGTTTGTTGTGGAGAGCACCTTCCTCTCGAAAGTAGGCACCGTATTGTTGAACACTCTGTTTGATAATACAACTATCCCCTTTAGCCACCAATTTCAATCTGGATTTAGCTTGCTTACTTGCTGTTTTCATACCGATTTCCAGCAATTTAGTATCAGAGCGGTGACGAAGCTAGTTGGAGAAGATGATGGCTTGCCCAAACCACGGACAATGGTTGGACTTGCTGGAGCAGCAGATCGCTGGGATTCCTTCGAGGGTGGCTTAAGAGATCACGATGGCGATTGCGGCACTCAAATCGGACCTCAATGCTCAATTAGCAGCCGCGCAAGAGAAGATTCGATCGGAGGTTCGCTCATCAGTGGTGAATGGGCCACAAAGCAAGTGGGAAAACCCATTCTCCGCGCCGCCACATCTGGGCTATGGTGAAGGTGGTTTCTAGGGAGGGCAATCGAACTGGAAGTTAAGCAATCGAACTAGAAGTTAAGGAAGCTCGATTTGCCACTCTTTGATGGAACTAATCCGAACGGATGGATTCTAGAGGTTCTTCCACTTTTACCAGCTAAGTGAGGAGGACCAGCTCGAGGTGGCCGTGGTGGCGCTTGATGGTGATGCGATGTTGTGGTATCAGTGGGAGCATCGGCGGCTCCCATTGTTGGTGTGCCCGAAGATATTGCAAAGGGGCAATATATTAATGGGTTGAAAGGAGAAATCCGGGTTGAGGTCCGAATCTTAGATCCAACCACTTTGGACCAAGCCATGGATCTCTCTATGCGTGTCAAAAGAAAAATTGAAATTGAGCCCACGACCCAAAACAGTTAGAAGCATGCCCACCACCAACCATTCCTTACCCAAATTTTCGACCCAATCCGCATAATACAACCCAAAACACTACGACCCTAAACACGAACCCAAATTCCCTAAACACTACCACCAACCAGCCAAACCTAGCCCCAAACACCTATAACAACCAAATTAACTCCGGTGAAATAAGAAGGCTGTCGGAGAAAGAGCTGCAGCAAAAGCGAGAATAGGGCTTGTGTTTTCGCTGTGACAAGAAGTGGAATTTGAACCACCGTTGTCCACGTCGTGGCCTGAGCGTGTTGCTCACGGTGGATGACGAAGACTGGGTGGAAACCGGTGAGTTCTCCATGGTAGAAACACAACTTGAACCCCACTTGTAGAATAACCGAATCCAAACCCTAAACCGGAGGTTTTCCTGTTATCGAGCTCGAAGACGATGCTGTTGGCCGGAGCTGTAAACGGAAAATTTGTGGTGGTGGTGATAGATCCCGGGCAACCCACAATTTCATCTCCACTACAGCAGCTCAGAATTTGGGTATTCATCCCACGGAATCGAAGAGTTTCGGGGTGACACTTGGAACCGGTGAGGCGGTGCGGGGGAAGGTGTGTGTAAAGGGGTGTTAGCTGGACCTTCAAGGGGTGACGATATTGGAGGATTTTCTCATCCTTCTCCTAGGTAGCTCGGATATGATACTTAGCATTCAATGGTCGGAGAAACTGGGCACAACCACCTCCAATTGGAAAACACAAACTCTTAAATTCCAGTTGGGTGGAGACTCACCTTGAAGGGTGATCCTCACTTGCTAGCAATGCTCAAAAATTTGCAGAATGAAGGTCAAGGGTATTTGCTTGAATTGAATGTGTTAAAGAGGTCAAAAGAGGAGGCACCAGTAATTCTAGCCGCCTTCCAGCCCTCGTTCAAGAATTCCGGCATGTGTTTCATATGCCTAGCGGCCTACCCCCACAAAGACAATTCGAGCATGCTATTGTGCTATGTAGTGGCACTAACCCAATTAGTGTCAGGCCATATAGATATCCCCTATCTCAGGAGGATGAAATCGAGAAATTAGTCTCGGACGTGCTCCTGTGTTATTAGTGAAGAAGAAGGATGGATTGTGGTGTTTTTGTGTGGTCTACAGGGCACTAAACAAAGAGACTATTCCGGACAAGTTCCCTATTCCCATTATTGATGAACTACTAGACGAGTTGGGTAGCTAGGCGATGTTCACGAAACTTGACTTAAAGTCAGGTTACCATCAGATTCGGGTACGACCCGAGGATGTTCATAAGACGGCTTTTCGAACCCATGAGGGTCATTAAAAATTTCTTAATGCCCTTCAGGCTAACCACTTTCCAGTCACTTATGAACGAAATATTTTAGCCGTTCTTGTGTAAATTCGTTCTCGTCTTTTTTTTACGATATTCTTGTGTATAGCCCTGTGTTGAGACTCACATGGCACACTTGTAACAGGTGCTGCAAACCTTGGTAGACCATCAACTCTATGCCAATTATAGAAAGTGCGAAGTGGGCAAAGCTAAGGTAGCCTACTTGGGTCACGTTATTTCAGCAGCCGGGGTGGAAGTTGATACTTCAAAGGTCCAAGCCATGCTGGATTGGCCTCCTCCCACAAACTTGAGGGAGCTACGAGGTTTTCTTGGTCTTACAGGCTATTATCGCAAGTTCATTCAGGGCTATGCGATGATTGCTCAACCCTTGACTGATCAATTGCGCAAGGACAATTTCGGATGGACTGAGGCTGCTAGCAATGCATTCATTTCCCTCAAGACTGCCATGGTGAGTGCCCCCATTCTAGCTGCTCCAAATTTTTCTTTGACCTTTGTTGTGGAAACGGATGCTTCTGGGCATGGTTTGGGTGCGGTCCTGCTACAATCTGATCATTCAATAGCCTATTACAGCAAGATTTTAGGCTTGAGAAATCATGACCAGCCCATATATGAAAAGGAGTTGATAGCTATAGTATTTGCACTAGAGAAGTGGAGACATTACTTATTAGGCAGGCACTTCATTGTTCGTGCTAACCAGAGGAGTCTTAAGTATCTTTTGGAGCAAAGAGAGGTGGGTCAAGCCTACCAGAAGTAGGTCCTGCCAACAAGGTTGCAGGACAATTTAGCTCTGAGGTTGAGTGTTATTCCATGGTGACTTCTTGTGGTCTTCGTTGGGACTACGTGCAGTCATTCATACAGAAAGATAAGGTGCTGCAACGTTTGATTTCTCAGCTACAGAAAGGAGAATCAACACCCAAGTGGTTCACCTTGGAGAATGGGATATTGAAGTACAAAGGCAGGGTAGTGATTCCCAAGCATTGCTTGCTGACAAACAAGTTGTTGAAAGAGTACCATGACTCTTTGGTTGGGGGGCATGCGGGTGATCTCAAGACCTACCACCGGTTGGCAGGTGAGTGGTTTTGGTTTGGGATGAGAAAGGATGTGACGAAATACGTACAACAATGCCACATTTGTCACCGGAACAAGTCTTCGACCTTATCTCCTTTGGGACTTGTTCAACCTTTACCAATTCCGGAAAGGGTGTGGGAGGACATCTCTATGGATTTTGTGTAAGGCTTCCCAAGTCTTCGGTTGGGATACCATACTCGTGGTGGTGGATAGATTAACAAAGTATGGGTATTTTATCCTTCTCAAGCATCCTTATACTGCTCAAAGCGTGGCTCAAAGTTTTTTGAACGAGGTGGTGAAGCTACATGGGATACCGGTGTCTGTTGTGTCAGATCGAGACAAAGTCTTTGAGACAGACGGTCAAACGGAGGTTGTCAATAAGGGTGTGAAATCCTATTTGAGGTGCTTTGTGAATGGGAAACCCCATACTTGGGCTCGTTGGCTTCCATGGGCTGAATACTGGTACAACACTACACCCCTTTCAAGGCTCTGTATGGCAGGGACCCTACCCCCCCCCCCCCCACCTGCTAAGGTTTGCAGCCGGCAGCACTGCTGTGTCTTCGGTGGAAGACCAGCTGCAAGAAAGGGATTCTATTTTAGATGATCTGAAATATCACTTGGTGCAAGCACAGGTGTATATGCAACAATACGAGAATAAGGGAAGACGTGAGGGAGCTTTTCAGGTTGGTGATTTGGTGTACCTTAAGCTGCAACCGTATAGGCAACGGTCCTTGGTCAGAAGGTCTAATGACAAGCTTGCTCCTCGTTTCTATGGGTCATACCCAATCATTCAGCAGATTGGCAAGGTGGCATACAACTATACAAGCTACAACTGCCACCTGGAACCAAGATACATCCGCTCTTCCACATCTCACAACTGAAGAAGGCCGTGGTAGCTGGTCATCGGCCAACCAGCCTTCCTGCTCAATTGACAGCTGACTTGGTGCTTGAGGTGGAACCTGAGGCAGTGCTTGGTGTGAGGAATTCACATGCTGCTATGGAAGTTTTGATCCATTGGAAGGGACTGCAGGAATTCGAAGCCACTTGGGAGAATTTTGATGAAGTGAACCTCAGGTTTCCTTGTTTCCACCTTGAGGACAAGATGAAACTTTGGGTGGGAGGTATTGCAAGGGATCAGCCCAAACCTGGTATTCGTTTCACATATGCAAGAAGGCCCAAAAATAATAATTGATTCATGAAAACAGTTTGTAAGAAATCAGTTTTGGGGGAGAGGATAAAGTAGTAATTCAGGAATAAGTTTGTTACTAGTTTGTTATTTTGTTTCCTTGTGTTAGCTGAGCTGGAGTTTGTTAGCTTGCTTAATGGGGGATTTGGTTAAGGGGAATGTATTAAGAAATATATTGTGGAGTTTGTTGTGGAGAGCACCTTCCTCTCGAAAGAAGGCACTGTATTGTTGAACACTCTGTTTGATAATACAACTATCCCCCTTAGCCACCATTTTCTCTCTGTATTTAGCTTGCTTACTTGCTGTTTTCATACCGATTTCCAGCAGTTTTCTTAATAACACTGCTGGATAGACTGTCGCAAAATAATTCTCTCTAAAGTCTTGAAAGCTTTAAGAAAAGTCCTAAATTGCATTGTAAGGGAAATACATGGAAAGGAAGGTTGGATTCTAACACCTTGCTTAGCCATTCTGGATGGGCAGTATTGTCTGTATGGCTGGCAGGTTGTGTAGTAGCATTGCATGGTGTGTGGGCTTGACAGAGGTGTTTGTGAGGCAGCAAGATTTTAAGGTCTGCTTCACGAGACTGTGTCCGTTGTGCAGATAGGCCATGTCCCCTACATGGGTGGCCCTTGTGTCGTAGGCCGCATAAAACTAACTTATATTTGTTGATTTGTTAGTTTAGCTCTTGCATCCTTTTAGTATTAATCCTCATTGAATTTAAAGTTTTTACTTGTGATGAGATTTGATTTGTAGTTTTTGTTATTTAATAAAAGGAAAGTAGTACTAGTGTACTACTATCTGGCTGAGAATTAGTTAAGCTAATAAGCCATTGTAGGTTTTGTTTTTATTTAATAATCAGATTTCAGAATTTCCCTTAAATCTTTCTGTTGTGATTTCCTTAAATTTACAAGTAGTGAGTAGAGTACCCTTGTCTGGCGTGATTAAGTTTACAATACACTAATGCATGTTTAGTTCACCTTATTTTTACTTATTTCAAATTAGATATTAGAAATAAGTTCTAACATATTTTATCGTTTTATGTGCGGTTTTTTAATGTTAATATCTTTAATTTCATAATGAAAAAAATTATGAAAATTATATATTAATAAAATATACATTATACGTATCTAACTAAGACCCCACTTGATATATTTTTTTCCTTGTAAATTAGCGTACATGTAAGGTCAAAGTTGATTCAAATTAGACAATCACATCTGGAAAAAAATAATAGACATATGGGATCTTGTTAGATTTGTTTCAATGCATATCTAATTAAAATTTAATTTTTAGCATTTTTACAATAATCTAATTAAATATAATTTTGATTGAACTTTTGCATTGAAAAACGTGATAAAAGAAATGTGTATTCTAATTTGAAACGGAGGAATTATTTTTTATTGTTCGAAATAGTTTGTATGGTCAAGGTTTAACTAGACAATTAACATTACTTGAAAATACCAACATATTAGCAAAATAAATCTGTAAGCCTATACATATATCACATACGTCAAAACTAATTCATACTACCTCCGCATCACAATGAATACAACATTTTTTCTTTTTGCACTAATCAATTGTTGGCTTTGACTGCACTTTTTACCTAATTATAATAATTAAATATTTATACGTAAATTATTGTTGGATTGGTCTCAATGTATATTATCAAAATTAATTATTTTAAATTTTTATTTATCAATTGATGTATACAAAAATTAATGGTCAAAATAGTCTACTGAAAATTAAAAAGCCAAAAAAAGTGCATCTATTGTGAAACAGTTGTGTATATTATTGGAGTTTTGCAATAAGTTTTTTAAAAAACTAAATTTATAAAAAAAAATATCATACATTAAATTTGCGGTGCGGTTTGGTTTCAAATTTTTGGAAAAAGCAAATCATACCATATATTGCAGTTTGAATTAATTCTTAAACCAAACTGTAAACCAACCCATAAACCGCTAATATATGGTATGGGAAGGAGGCTCAAATTTAAAAAGGTCTACTCTTAGGATCTTTGCCAATGGGACTAACATAGTGATAGATGATTTCAAATTTATGTTGCCATACTCAAGATTGAGAGAGAATCTTTTGTCCCAATAATTTTGTTTATAGGCAAATTTGTTAGAAACAACCGTTTATATGTAGCTTTTTATTTTTGTGAGAAACAACCTTTAAATATTTTTGTGAAAAGTTAAAACGGTAAACAATATTGTTTTATAAAGATGAAACCTTATTCTATTTACTGGTGTTGACCAACGCGTGCCAACCACTTGACATCTTTTTTCTACTAATTGCACTCATCTCATTCTATTTGCACCCCTATTTTCCTCCAAGATGACATTTTCATCTTCATCTAATTCTACACCATGAAACCACCAAGCTTCATATCTCTGTCTTCATCTTCTTTATTTCTTCCAAAGCTTTAGCCATTAAAGGAGTATCTACTCTCTACAATCCCTTTTCAACATTCATTTCTTTTCAATCCAACTCTCTTTTGCCCCAATTACAACCCTTTAACCACAAAAAATTCTCACAAACCCCACAATTTTTGCTGTGAATGCCAATATTTTTCACAATTCACTTTTGACATTGGCTTTTGTAACATGTAAAGCTTCATTTTCTCACATTAAATTTACCCCAAAATTGAGAAGGGCCCTCAATCTCAAGGTATTATCCTCCCAAACCTTAACTTTCAAGAGAGATAATACCAATGGTGGGAAGACGATTATAACAAGCACTGGATGGATTTCCATCATACAATAAAAATACCCGAGAAACCCACCTAAATGTCCCTAATTGCTTGACAACCGTGATGAATTGTATGATTCTATATTATTGTAAAGATGGTGCAAGGAGGGGAGAGTAACTAATTTGAGGTAATTTTGATGGAGTGGCTATTGCCAATGTAATGACAATGATGAACGAAAGATGAAGATTTGGAGTGCAATGAAGAAGAAGAAGATGGAGATGGGAAAGAAGAAGAAAATGGAGATGGGAAAAGGAGGAGTGCAAATTGAAGAAAATGGAGGCACATGGCGGTCACGTGAGAGTCAATGTCAAAAAAGGGTTTGTGGAAAAATGGAATAAGGTTGCATCTTACAAAAAAAATTGTTTAAGGTTCTACTGCCAAAGATTGTTCTGACAAATTATCCTTGTTTATAATCATTTGAATCTTGTAAACATCCCCTCTATAACCATTAATTTATTCAACCTTAATTTTTATTCACTTCTAAACAACATATTTGCATTAACATAACCTCACTACAATTTCTCCCCTCAATATTTGTGCCCAACCCAAATGAGAAATCTGATGGGGGACGGGGGGAGTAACTAACGACCTGTCGTGGACCCATGTAAATACTTTTCACACATTTTGATGCAGGCAAATGGTACATAGGTTTTGGACTCCTCAAGAATTGTACAGGATTATGGTCCTTTTTTTTTTTTGGTGTCACATTGTTACATGGATTTATAATGGAAGTTTATTTAGTGAATGAAAACTAGCTTAGTGGTAACTTACTAACTTGAAAGGTGGCTTGAGGTTAATTCTCATTTGCATCACCACTCTTTATGGCTCTACCCAAAAGAGGAAAAAACTTTTGATCAATTAGGCAGACAGCCAACAGTACTTTTACACCTGCCTTGCAGAAGAAGACTAATGATGCTAAGCGGTTTGTTATTATTTATACTTTGTTTTGCAGAAATTTGTTGCCAAACCTTATTACCTTAAACGAGAGAAGCACAAGGCAGTAGAAATCATGGAGAAAACCTCAGGCCAGGTATAACACAATTATATATGCTACTTGCACTGTGTTTCTTCTGAATGCATACAATTCATGCTTACTATCAAAGAAACGGAGGCTGACATGACATTTCAATAGGCCAAAGGGTTGCCATTTTAGCTACAAAGTAGAACACTGATGATTTACTAGCCTGTAATAGAAAACTGTTGATTTAGTTACTGGATTATTTATAGATAAGTCTCCTATGATAATATTGTACTCTGTATTTTTCTTCTTAAAATTAATGTAGAGAGGTGTTTAAAACTTTGTTGGATTAGAAAATAAATTTTAGGAATATTCTCTGAAACAGTGCACCTTTTTTTTTTTTGTGAGCAATCTGATGTATGTACAACTTCTTCCCCTCTAATGCCAAACGTACTTTAAGTAACTAATGTTTGCTGGGGGAATATGATCATGTATCTGTCTATTCTACAGATATTTCTTTTCTGCCATCTCTTTTCCCTTTCCAAATTTATTTTTAACATTTTGAACAGGGAAGTGTTTATGTGTTTGGAGTTGGGACTTGAAATCTCTGCCATCTATGAGATTATGACATATGTCTGGCAATCACTTTATCCCCAACACTTTGATCTAGGTTCGTGAAGCTAGAGTAGCAGCAGCAAAGGCTCAGCAGCTATTAGAAAATGTGGCCAATAGAAAGATGAATAAACAAATTGAAATTGGTGGATTGATCATCACAAAAGCAGTTTATGGAAGTGCAAAAGCTCTGAAAAAGCTGGATGATGTGGAAATATCAAGTGATGAATTGTCTTCACAAGTTATTGATGTTACTATACCTCTGAATTTCTTGGTTAATGATTTGGGGCAACTTCAGGTATGATCCCTGTTAGTATTTTATGAAAGCATGCAATTTCTTGTATTTCAATTTGAATTTTGATATTCCTTGGCTTTTCCATCTATTATTCCTGTAGTTTTTTGTGCTGCAAAGATTGATTTGTCAATTATAATCATAAGGCAAAGTAACAAACACAAAACAGATGTTTGGGCACTCAAATTATTTGTAAATTGTAATGGCAGTTCAAAATATTTGTTTTGACTATGTTCAGGTTTCTAAGTTTCAACTATGATCTGAGAATGTTTAGGTGACATAGATTTGAATGCCTGCCAGGTTAATTGGAATTGAGGCCAAGCATTGCCTGCCTTGTCTTCAATGTTTTGTTATAATTGTCTTGCCTTAACCCTATGACATGCATAGTGGTTTTGTATTTGTGTGTGAATACTGCTATCAAAGTACTTGGTTAATTTCTCTTTCGGCACAGCTTCATGAAGGTGTGAAGAAATCAGGCATTATGGGCTTTTGTGACCCATGTCCAGGAGAACATAAGAAACTGCTGGTCAGGTACACGTGCAACGGTCAAAACTACCAGGTAATTTTATTTGCTTGGTTAGATAATTGTAATCTTTGTTGGTAAGTTTTAAATGTCCATCCGCACGCAGTTTTAATTTATTCACATGATTACAAATAGGTGGTGGTTGAAGACTATGCGGAGTTGCGGATACCCCAGGAAGCTCACAAGCTCTAGACTTTTTCTTCAGTAACAAGATCATCATCACCTCCCTTAATCACCTATGAAGCACCTATAGCTGGTTTGAGGCCCATAAAGCATCACAAAGTTCATCTTGTAGTCTTATGTTCAACTATCACAAAAGTAAAAATAAAGACACACTAGTACAGTACAATATTTATAGTTATCTTCGTATTGTGATTATCTGGTCAATAAATGCAATAATTATGCCATGTATCATTTTTGTTTGAGGGCATTAAATGGCTGGAACATTTTTGTTTTCAATTAATTCTTTCTCAGAACTTTAGAGTGCAAACTAATCAGAATGATTATTGTATAACAAATTAACAAGGCGTCTTCTTTTGGCATATGATGCCTTGTTTTTTTCTTTCCAAAAAGTAGCGATTCTCAAGTGCATATTCGCCTGTGTGTGGGGGATATAATGCTCACTATAAAATATAAGATAGTATCCTTAAAATCTCGTAGAGTATTTAATAATTATCATGTTCTCTACTCTACATCTATATAGCGAATGTTGTTTTTAAGGTTTTATTAAGCTTAGATGAAACAAGTTACAAAGACTCCATCTGTATAATTATCATGTTCTCTACTCTACTATCAACCATTGTAGCTACATAAAATGGATTAAGCGGTTAAGCAGATAACGTGTGTACTATAAACACAGTAAAAACCCTAGCCTTTAAGAGAGGATTCATAAGATCTACGAAAATTGTAACCAATAAATCATAAATGAAATTAATGTTTTCGTAATTTTATTCCTCTTTATTCATATATTGCAGATTTGAATTTTTATGGTTTGATATTAATGAATATGAAAACTAAAATTTACACACACACAAAAAAAAAAAAAAAAAAAAAAAAAAAACTCCAATTAACCTAAGAGCTATTACAAAAGACGATAATATTTTATTATAGATAAATTTGAGTTTAAAACCCAAAAAAAAAACATAAATCCCAAAGATATTTTTTTCAATATTTTTTTTATTTTGTTTTTTTTTTAAATTAATTTATTATGGACCATCTATTAGGGGACACTATGTTTAAATGTTACTATTTAAACATAAAGGTCACAATATTAAAATAAAAGTTATTATGTTAAAATAATAGTCATTGGGTTATAACAAAGGTCATAAGAGATTAATATATTTTATAATGAATTTTTATTATATACTAGATGATATGAATTATAAAGGTCACTATATTTTTTAAAAAAAGGGTTACCATGTTTAATATAGCGTTAATTGGCACATTATTGTTCACCTAAGGTCCACACAAGTTTTAATAAAAGTAACTATGTTAAAATTAGGGTCACTATGTTCAACGTAACGTCGATTGATGCGTGTGAAACTCAAGTCCACAATAATGTACTACCTCCGTTTCTTTTAGTTAACACATATTTCTTTTTAGAAAGTTTATTTTTAGTTAACACATTTCCTTTTTGGGTAAGTTTTATACACCATCGTCCCATAATATAGTTCCTGTTTTCCTATTTTGGAGATCCAAAATGTTATTCCTGTTTCTATTCTTAGATAGTATGTAAAGACTATTATACCCTCACTTTTTTAACTTTATTCATTGTACTTTCTAAATTACCCTTGAATTTTGCACATGCCTTGTACTTTTCTCCACTTTCTCTCTCAAACTTTTGTCTATAATTATACTTTTCACTTTTATTAATGAACTCCATCCACTTTTTCCTCCTATTTCTTAAATACCGTGAAAAAACATGAACAAAAACTATATTATGAGCCGGAGGGAGTACTTTACATTTACTAGTCTACCTCACTTACTTTATCATTCTCTCTCAATCTTTCTCCTCTCCTTAATATGTGTGCCTAAATAGAACGCGTCAACTAAGGAGGAAGTAATTGTGAACCAAGTCCACACAAGTATTTGTGAACCTAAAATTTTCTCTCCTTTAAGTCCCTTGTTAGATTCTTCACTTTTGTCAGATTCTTCCACTTGGCTTCTTGCTCACATAAAAATAGTAATTATAAAAGTCAACCAAGAAAGATTGCTGTTGGCAAATTTGCAGGGAAAGACCACTGAAAGCGCACATACATTTCTACTGAGGTCTGCAACCACTACAAACGCAAGAAAATAGAAAGCATCCATCTTACCCGAGTGTAAGATGGATTTTGCAAGAAAAGACGGATCAAATGCATATACTTTTATGCTAATAATTCTTCTCATTACACAAAGACATATTGAATCATGAGATCACCATTTGCCGAATCAAAACTTGCCTCCATTTCCACTGAATGAAAATCATCAGAAGACATATGATCCTGACTACTGACAGCCACAGGGGTTTTTAACAGCTTTACCCCTTGCTTCCATTGTCTATGATCTGGTGCATACAAGCAAATCAGTCAATATGTCCTATTGCTTTAATAACATAAATGTAATGATGTAAAAAAGGATGTAATATTTCACAAGTTCATCTACTAATGCTTAATACCTGGGCCAGTTGATACAACAATATCGTTTTCTGCACTTAATACCCAATCAATCCAAAGAACAAAGCCATGGCATATACCAGTCCTAGTAAACTTAACCTGTAGTATAGCAGAATGTTCATATGAAGTCAACTTTCATGCATAAGAGTGCTGTCATGATGCAAATTTCTTATGTTCTAAAAATGCTTCCAGCGAGAAAGGAAAAAAAAAAGTTAAAAGGAATGGCATTGTTGGTTGAGAAGGAAGAAAACAATTCCATTTAGCCATCTAATCTGCTACTTTCTGATGAGAACCGCCCCAAAGCTCAGGCTATGATGAACAGGAAACCATATGTATCGTTCAGGCAAGCTAAATTGTACAAGTACACCGCAATAGGAAAACCTCTACAAATATATGATTAGTTTTTTCCCCCTAAAAAAAATAGATAGGGAAATGGCTACACTGAGGTTTAACAAAATTCTCAAACTATTCTTGCATTTTAGAATTGTCTTAATCGTCACATTTCTTCTCTAATCAACAAGATAATTTTCCAGGATCTGGCCATCTAGACTTAAAGCTTATATTAATAATTATTAAATTAAACATATATTAGTTTAATTGCATAGGATAATATTACTGTCTCCAAGACCAATAAACTTAGCGAAAAATAGCTAGCTAGCAAGAAGCAAAAACACAAGGAGCAATTGAATTAGAATTTAATCAAGCTTAAAATACAAACATTTATTACAAAGAATAATATAAAATAAACCATGGAAAAACCTATCTAAATGAAACTAAATAGACCCCCTGTCAACAATCCCTACAATTGGCATCATTAACACTATGTTTGGATACAGGGAAAAGGAGGAAGACACTTTCGGGGTGAGGGAAATGGGTTAAAATTTCTTCCCTCATTGCTTAATAGTCAAATCTCTCCAAAATTGGAAATATTTGGAAGAAAAATGAAAACGGAACCTCTTAATAACTTACCCTATTTTATCACCCCTCTTTCCCTCTCCCTCTCTCTCTTAATCATGGGCATTTACACCTCAGCTGTGTCGGCTACTCGGCTATACACATGAAGTCTCCGGCCTATTTTCGATGTTTGACTTGTGTGTTATCAATGCATCTTTCCTTTGTGCAAATTTATACTGACTCCTTTAATTTGGTCACTCAGCTTCAGGATAAGGCTACTCAGTATGTTCGTTCACCTCACCTGGCTCTCCAGGAAATCAGGACCAAAGGACACAATTCAAGGTTTGTATTATCCGCAAGGTCGATAGAGATAAGGTGGCAGCCGCACATGACAGGGCTCGATAAGGCATTAGACTTTGCTTTTAGTTTTGATCCTTTGTAATTTTATTTTCTTCCTTTTGTTTGTTTAGTAGTTGTCAAAAAAAATCATGGACATTTATATTGATGAAAGAAGACTCTTAAGCTTCAACATGGTACCACGGACACAACTGACAAGATACATATGCAATTAATTCCCTTGTGTTTATGATGTAAACTTTGCCTTTTATTAGTCAAGGATTAAAATGATTCTACAGGTTTAAGAGCAAATAGCAGCAACATTTAGTTCATCACAGTAAGTATAAATCTTTGAGTGGAAATACTTTGACATTTTGTGCCAATATTTTAGTTGTGAATCAAAAATAAAATTTTATATAGAGGAAATAATACTTTAATAATAAGTATTTCTCCATTTGTTCCCACAAATTTTTTTAAAAAGTTCAACTCATATAGTGTAGATTCTTGTTTCTAGGAAATGTTATCATGTTAATAAAAAAAAATAAGTGAATTTAAGAAAAATATGAGTAATGTAAAAGAGATTTGGTTAATAGGTGGGTGAGTGTATAAAAAGGTGAACAATAAGAAAGAGTGTGTAAAAATGGTGTATATAGTAAGGGTAAGAGGAGTAAGATAAGTAGAAAGGGGTAGAACTTGGGTAAACAGGAGTAAGATATATTATTGATTATTTTAGTAATGATTCTCCAAATTATTTTATTAATTATGTTAGTAATTTAGTCTCAAGCTAAATTTTACACGTGTTTTTGTTTAATTTTTAGCAAAATAGCAATATTAGGCTTTTTATATATGGGATATTTAGTTACCTTATGTTACTTTATTCTATTTATTCAAATTGTTTATACTTAAACTTGATGTCATTTGTAAATTATTGGAGTAAATATTGTAAGGAAATTATGAGTTATTTGTAGTATATGAGTATGGTTATACTATAAAAATTAATATGTAAGATTTACAATATACATAGTATATTTTTTTGATACATTTAGTAGGAAACATGAAGATCTTATAGAGATCCTGGCTAAAATTTAACAAAAATCATTACAGTTAAATAGGTAAATAATATATATAAAGATTTATTCCATACATAAGACAAGCAAATGAGAGAGTAACATTTGTCATCCTCACATTGATTTGCTTGTCTTATAGTATAGTACTAGCATAGTACCCGTGCAATTGCACCATATAATAAGTTCATATGTATAATTTACTTATCAAAATAATTTTTAATAATAATGATGAAGTAGAAATCAAAAGTTACGCTCTAACATATATAGCTCCCAAAAATATCATAGCATGATTTAACGCTGGTATTAACATAATTATTCTATTATTATTTTACCTATTACATTATTTATAGACTTAAAATTAGGGATAGCAAGTGGGTATAAAAATGTGAGTCTCGCACGGCACCCGCCCCAGTTTAAGCGAGTATGGATTCAACTTTGACGAGTAGGTAGGCAGGTATGGGTACATAAGTCATACCCACCGTAGGTAACGGGTAAGCGATGGATTTGA